ACCCTTATCTATACTAGAAATGTCTCAATAGTATCTGCACTGAAACATGTCTGAATTACTATTGAGATCTGAAAATTGCAGGTTTAATTCAAGGACTAGAGGCAAAAGTTAAAACACCTGGTGTATTTTAACCTTAAAGCCAATTGTCGCGAGAGTGTTTATAGAATAGAAGGTCAGTTATGCTGTTTTTACTCCAAGTAATATTTCGCATATTTGTGACAAGATCTCGTTAGTTTATTCAAACAATAAGTCTAGTGAGACCTTTGCGAATGAAACTACGGTGCTATTTGTTGTGTAATTATCGTATATCCTAACTAGATAGAGGACATTTGTTCGTAACTTCTTCATATAAAATATTGCTGCAGATTACCGCGAACAGTTTGCATAGCATTCTTCCTTAAAGAACTCGACTATCAAGTGGCTATTCGCGTATTTTTTTCTTGTCCCTGATATGCCTGTGTACAGCAATACCAGAAGAAAATTCCGAATTAACTTGTATACATCCTAATCCCCCAAAATAGAGGAGATTGGGTTTTCAAAGGCCACAGTCAGGGCCGAATTACTCCACCTTAAGCCCGCCAAATCACCTGGGCCAGGTAAAATTCCTGCACTCGCATTACGAGAACTTGCTCTCAAACGTTGGAAACCTCTATCATCTGTCATCTTCCAAAGGTCTTTTGAAGAGGGTGAACTCCTGGAAGAATGAATGCGGGCGTTTCTCACCCCGATATATAAGAGAGGTTCACGACTTGATTGTGCAAATTACCATCCTGTAAGTCTAAATTGCATCGCGTGCAAAATAATGGAGCGCATTATCAAGAAGCATTACATGGAATTCCTGGAAAGCAACAAAAGATTATGTGATGGTCAGCATGGCTTTTGTCCAGGACACTCTTGCCCCATAGGTGCTCTTTACTCGCATGAGAAGTGAACATAGGCCACAGATAAGGAGTATCAAACTGATGTAATATTTCTCTACTTCAAGAAGGCCTTCGATAATGTACTACATAGGTTTCTTCTACAGAAGATTTGGGACTTGGGGACTCAAGGATAACTGTTTGAATGGATCAGCAATTTCTTGTCTCTCAGAGGACAGAGGGTCGTTGTTGGAAACTCAACCTCGGAATGGACAAAGGTAGAAGTTTGTGTA